ACAAAAATACTTATATATTTACCAGACTAATGGGACTGTCATCATATCGATACATAATGCCACTGTTATCTGAATATCGAATCTCAGCCAATCTTCCTTGAATATCAAAAGAATATCTTTCTGACAAGTAGCCTCTTTCCCATCTTGCCAACCGACCAAATCTATCATATTCTAGTTTAACTGGAGTTAAATTTTGACTGGGTTCCCATTGTTTTGGATGACCAAACTCATCATAACGAACTGTGACTAAAGGTATTTGATTTTTGTCATAAATTGTTTCGCTGTACTGTTCTCGATCAAATTCCACAGCTACCAGTGTTTCACCATTTATCTGGAAAAAAGAACATTAAACATTATATATTAATTTTTTATATCTAAAATAATGTGAGTTAAATTTTATTTCCTTTATATAATAAAAATTTTTTTATTTGGTAATTATAAATAATATATAAAAAGTATGATTAATTCACTTAACCATTTCTAATTTAAAATTATAAAAATCTTGCTACAAGTAATAATACAAAATTTATAAGTAATTAAAAAATTGTTACTACAGAAACTTAATGTGAGAAAATTTTTATATTTCATATGTTTAAAAATTTGAAACATTACAGAAGCTTTTGATTTTGCATTAATTGAGTATCTTATAGTGATGCTAAATACAAAAATTAATAGAGCTTAAATTAATAAATAAGAGCAAATTGAATCAGTTTAAATTGTATTTCATTACATAATACTACCAGTGGCGTGCCGTCCTTGGAAGTGGTGGAAGTGCCGCTTCCCTTGTATTTTCGAAAACATGAAAATAATCGCACAATATGTATTTATATTTGAACATGTCTTATTACAAATTTCTATACATGTGAAAAAATAATATGATTGCTATTGTATATTCGAATATAAATTTGTATATGGATATTCCCAATGGAAGCGCCGTATTGTCGAATATGGGACAGTGCCACGACAAAAATATTTGAATAGTGTAAAACAGCCAGATTGCATTCGTGCATGTGCTTTTCAGAGCACCAACCTCATGGTGTAAGCTACAAACACAATGCTTTCAATGGATTCTATCCAAGACCAGTTCTGGGCTGTTAGCCACCTCCCTGCTAGATATTCGGCTGCCCTTGCCATTATGCAAACCGCGAGTAGATTTATAACTTAACCAGTGACATACCATCTTTGGAAGTGGTGGAAGCACTGCTTCCCTTGTATTTTCTAAAATATAAATACATATTGTGCGATTATTTTCATATTTTAACATACTTTAAGTTAATTAAAATTAATATTTTATTATAACTGCATTATGTATCTTATTACAAATTTCCATACTACATGTGAAAAAAATGATAAGATTGTTAATATATACAGTGGTGCCTCGTATAACATACTTAATCTGTTTCAGGTGCATGTCCATTAAGTGAAAAGTCTGTTATACAAAACGCATTTTCCCATAGAAAGACATGTTAAAACATATAATTCGTTCCGCAGCATAAAATAACCATACTGTACCGCAACTGACCTTCTGCATTAAACTGAAATTTTTCTTGTCCTCTTTGTATAATATAACCACGTGAATCAACCATATAAAGTTCTACATCACCATATCCTACGAGACGATCACCATCGTCATATCTTAATGATATCTGATGTTGCCCCTCCCAAAGACTTTTCATATTTCCATTTATGTCATAAATGAAGCGCCAAATATCTGTACCAGTAACTTCTTCCAAGAATCCATCAATTGTATAGCTGTAATTAGTAACTGTTGGAGAATTTTCTTTTCCAATTTTCATTATTGATTTCCTTATTCGACTACGGCTATCATATTGTAGACTGAGAGAATATATTTCTTTGTTCCATAAAGTCATAGCCAAAACAACTATCCTTCCATAAGAGTCATAGCCAANCTGATGATTTCTTGCTTTGTTTCAATTGAAATCACCTTTCTGTTTTTTTAGAAGCCATGATTTGCACAACACTTGAATAAATGTAAATACCCTGCACTGAGTTGATGTACGTAATAAACAAGGGGGCAAGCCAAATCCCAGCGGGAGCTCTGTACTTCAGATATACTAATAATAAATTCTAATAATACTAATATATTATAAAAATAGCAGATTGTCATTGGGAATGGCAAAAGAGTGGAAACATCATTTGCACTTGTTCGCAGAAAGTCCGTTGTCCATTCAGCAAGGCTGATGCCTTAACTGTTTTGGCATAAAGCTGTCTTATTTATGAACTGTGAAACTTATACATAGATTATAGTACTGTACATAATAGATTATAAACAAGTATAGATTCTTGCTTGTCATGAAAGTTCACAAAACTTGGTACCAAGAATCTATAAGAAAATTAATGAATTAAATCACTGATTATTTCAGGAAGTCAACATTTTTTATTAAATAGTTCAGAACCTAACAGCTTCTGAGTCATTAAATTACACATTCTAAGCTGAGGATGATCAGATATTGACTGAAAACATTTTTCATTTTTATTAAACAAAAGAAATGCTTTCAGTCAAATATCTGATTTCGAATCTGTTAGGTTCTAAATCATTTAATAAAAAGTTTGGTTTCCTGAAATAAGCAGTGATTTAATCCATTAATTTATTTGTAAGATTTGTACAACATTGGTATTTAAAACAACAGTGTCCAAAACCAAACTCCAGCATACAAAATAATAGAGCTAATGTTCTCACATTTGATGAACCCTTATGTCTGGTAACATTAAAAATTCATGAAACAAATCGTTTCACGAATTTTAAATGTTACCGGACATAAAGGTTCATTGTGTATGTTCATTAACACCAGTAATTAAGTTAGAAGATTGCTAATGTTTTTGCCCATTTTAAATGGGGATTGCTGTACATGTGTTAAGAGAGGAGGTGATGTAAGAAAGAAAGAGGAAGGATGGAAGGTAAGAGGATAGAAAGTTCACAGTTTGTAGATCGTCTTCCACATGGTGGAGAAGGAATCAACATCATAAAAGTTAATGGCTATATTTTTTGGGTGGGTTTGTAAATTTCTACCTGCTCTAAATATCTGAGATGATGTTTCTGGGTGGAGCTACATATGAGGTATGCACAAATGAGTCAAAATTGTGCATACCTCATATGCCATACCTATAATGTGTATACCTCATTTACCACCTTTGCCTCTGACACTGACATAGATGTATTCTATGTCAGTGTCAGAGACAAAAGTAGCTAGAGTGGTGTTGGCCAACCCTGTCAGGATGGAATTCTGATACTCCCACATGGAAGACATTCTACAAACTGTAAACTTTCTATCCTCTCATCTATCTCTTAACAAATGTATAACAATCATTGTTTTAACAACTGTGGGATCATTTATCTGACAATGCCCATTTAACATGGGCAAAAACATTAGCTCTATTATTCTGTATGCTGGATTTGGTTTTGAATGCTGTTGTTATCAACTTTATCTAGTTTCTGAGCAGGTGGTTTTATACTGATATTTATTTGTGTTTCATTCATAAGCGAAGAAAGTTTTTTATATGTGAATAAAGTATAAAAGTAATCATATGTAATGATAGTCACATACTATTAGAGAAAAAGTCAATATGTTTAGTACAGTTTTGATTATATTTTAAATTGTGTACTAATCTATATATAATGCAATACATAAATACATAGTAGTTTTAAAACTGTTAGTTGAAATATTAACAGTCAACAACTGTTAAGTTTTCTATATATCATCTCCAGAATTTAAAAGATGCTACAATGTTGCAATGCTAATCTATTGTTAACAGTGCATAAATTAGAATAATTTTTTCCAATAGCTTTTACTATTTTTAACTTGGGATTGATTTCTTGAGCAGAAATCAATATTTGAATTAAAAAGTAGTATGAAGAATCAATATTTTCATTAGAATCAAAATAAAATTTTCTAACAAATGATTAGGATAATTGTTTCAAACATACACATTATTAATATTAAATGAAAAACTTGGCAAAATTAAAATTCTAAACAAAATTTTCATAGAATGTTTTAGAATAATAAAGAAAGCAAAAGATCACATAAGAATGATTTGATTGCATCACTGAAGAGAAGAGCTGCATTTTATAAAAGCTTAATAAATGTGACTATTTTTTTTCTTTTCGTTTTTAGAAATGTGGCAATTGAAACTCACCTTCATTTTCCTGCCCACTTGTGTTATTTGACGATTACGACCTTTGCCTTCCCTCCGTAAATAGTAACGCCACTCAAACTTTTGAGATACTTCATCATTTAATGTTGTTTTAAGTTTTGCAGGAACAGGAAATGTTTCACCAAGTACAGGACTTTGATCTGCTAAAACAGGACTAGGAACCGTTTCCATTTCTATTGTCCTAGAATCTTCCTTTGTTATTATCAAACTATTATCAGGATCTTTGGTAATTTTTTCTATTGCAGAACCTATAAATAATTTAAATAAATTTAAAAGACAAATAAAAGATGTTTTGCTAAACAGTTGTTAGATTAATAAAAATTGTAAGATATCCTCAAATATTACTATAATATTAAATATTAAAAAATAAAAACAAATTCAAACCAAAATTTTTTGTTAAATTAACATTGCACATCGTATTCTTAATGGAACAATGAACATCAGAACCATTTCCTATGTTTTATTAATGTAATTTTATAGTTCAACAAAAATACCATTTGGACTTGGTGCCATATTTAAGATAGTAATTCAGGAAATTAAAAATTTGTTTTCGTTTCCTGATTTTAGCATTTTTCTTATTATTGTAATATTATAGTTACTTAAAACATGTCATAAATGAGAATTTTAATCATTTTCAAGCTAGAATCCTATTTAGTGATCAATGTGCTTATTTGAATTATACTTTTCAAAATTTTGAATTATTATATAAATGAAGATATTATTTAGAAAAACCATTCTTACTTTTATACTTTATTTTCTTAAAAAAAAAGTAGTAAGTTAAAAGATAATAATCTAATCAAATTGAAAATTTGTAGGTGGTTTTTAAGCTAAGAAATAAATATAATTTAAAGAAAATTTTAAAGAGTAATAAGAATTTACTTTTATTTACATATATATATTGTTTGATATAACAGAAACAATGTAAAAGTTCTTTATTACACTAATCATCACTAAATCATTTTTTATAAATGAAAAATATATTAAAAATTTATATTTACCTTTATTTATTGTAACATCAGAACCTTTAATAAGCAAAGATACAGGAGTTTTATCATTTCTGGTAACAGTTACTGCAGCTCCTTTAATACTTAAATTATATGACAACTTTATTGTGTGACCACTTGGAGTGACTGCTTGTGTAAGTCGACCATATTTGTCATATCCATAGAGAAATGATTTACCAGAACTATCAATTTTGCTTCGCAAAAGACCTGTACTACCATGATATTCAAAAACAGTTTTAAAATTATCAGGTGTTGTAAAACTTTGTAACATTCTCATTCTGGTCATTTCAAGCCTACATTTTCCTCCTCGAGTATTTTCTATAGTTTTAACTTGATTACTATAGTCTCGGAGTATATATATTTTATTTCCTGCAGCATCTGTTACTGTACTAAGCTTTCCAAAACTAGTATTTACATTATAAGAAAATGTATATACAATTTTTCCAGTTAGTATGTTTTTAGTTGTTGTATGTTGGCCATGACGATTAAAAGAATATATTTCTTGGGTTTCAGGAGAGTATATTTCATATTCATGAGAATCATTTGGCTTAGGTAAAGAAGATGTGACTGACCAAATTCTTAAATTTCCCTGATCACAAATATGCAAAAGTCCATCTGGTGTGACAGTAATGGAAGAAATAGTATTCAATTTTGAAGTGGCAGCAAGAAAATTATCTTCATCAAAACATTTGCAATTTATATCCAGACAACTACATTTCATCTCTGCACCTGCAAATTTTGAGATGCGTCCATCACTTCCAATAACACGAACTCTATTAACAAATTGAGAATCACTTTCTGCAATATAAAGATCCCCATTAGGCGCAAAGGCAATACTTTGAGGTGATTCTAAAAAGACATCATTAGCTTGATCAGATTTTTCATGAGAAGAAGGACATTGTAGAGGTTTTCCTGCTATTACTTTTAATCTTTTGTCTGGAGTTAATTTTAAAACAAGATGATCATCTAAAATATGCAGAGTACCATCCAAAGGATTTATAGCCAGTTCAGTCGGCCATCTGAGATTAACCTGAAAAAGTTACATTTTTAATAATAATAAATCCAATAAAATAAAGATATTTTTAATTACAATAATTATTATCACAAAAAAAAACAAATATTTTTATATTGTAATTAATTATATAATGATAATTAAGTTGAAAATCTCTGGGTTAGAATTGGTCTGCTTAAATTAATTAATAACTGATGAATTTGATTATATGTGGATCTTCCTAGAATGGTATTAAAGTTGCAATTCTTACTTGAATAAACAATGTATTGTAAAGTATGTCATCTAAAAATAATCTGTTCCAGAAATATTTTTGTCATTAAGTCAAATTTTTTAACTAGAATATTTAATTATTGTGGTTATTTATTGCCACATTAATTACACATTGAGACTTAAAAATTTCAAATGTACTTTTATTAAAATTATCTACAGGTAGCAACATGTTCTATCTGTAATCTAAATTTACAAATCATTAATTAATTAATTTAGCTGATGAAATTTTAACTCAGAGAATTTCAGTGTAATCTGATGAAATCTGATTGATTGTAAGAAATCTGATGATCATCAATATAATAATAATTTAACTCATTTTATAATTAGGGAATATCCAAATTATTTATATTAATAATTTGTGTAATAATTTTATTCAAACATACTCAGATTTTCAAACAGAAAGCAGCATGTTCATTTCATTTGAATTTTGTTCTATTTGTTATATTGTGAAGAAACCTCTAGTGCAGAAGGATAAAAGCACTTCATTTTTAATTCTTAACCATCCAGCTAACTATCAATTTTTACATGGCAGCAGCAATTTTTAGCAATTTCATAGATTCCTTTTGATTGAATAACATAAAATAATTAAAATTTTTAAAATGTCCACAACAAAACAAATCTTGTTAAAAATATTTACTCTTGGTTTTCTTTTTCATGTCAAAAACACATGTTAATTTCCTCTTAATTTCCTGTATATTTGAAAATATACAGAGGAAAAACAGTGCGTCTTAAATTTAGTAATTGCCAAAATTTAATTTTTATACAAACAACATACAGTAGTCAATAGAATTTTATTTATTTATTTTTAATAATATAAAACAGTGGCATGTTGAAGCTGTGAAAGTGCAGCTTCCCTTGTATTTTCCAAAATATAAATAAATATTGTGCGATTATTTTCATATTTTAATTTACTTTGAAATTAAAATTAATATTTTATTATAACTGCATTATGAATTTTATTACAAATTTCTATACAAGTGGAAAAAAATGATAAAATTGTTATTGTATATTCGAATCTAAATTTGTATATTCATATTCCCAATGATTGTCGAATACAAGATAGCTTCTAAGGCAAAAATATTTCAATTGTGCAAAGCAGCCAGATTACAGGCATTTGTGCATGTGCTTTACAGAGCACCAATCTCACACAGTTTAGTTCATGGATGCTACACACCAAAACTTCCAATGATTCTATCTAGGTTTGGCACAGCTTCCCTATCATCAAATGTCATCACATGCCACTGATACAAAATGCATCTAGAAGTTTAAAAATATGCTAAAGAAAAAAATTAAGCCCAATATCATGATTACCTGACTTAGTGTTATAGTTTTTCCACAAGGAAATGGTTTCCAATGGCTCTTATGATAATGATCGCCAACTATGGTATGAATAATTCCATTACGATCCACCATTCGGATATTAGTGCCATCAGCAATAAAAATTTCATTATGAGCCGAAATGGCCATACCTATAAATTTAATTTTTAAAAGTTAGTTAATATTTTTTAAAATTGTATATTATTTTTTCATAATTTTAAATATCATTAAAATTTATAAAAACAAAATATTTCATATATTCATAATTTGATTCATTAATTTTAAATTTTTTAACATTTCCATTACAGGAGACCCTCAATTTTCACACATTCTACTTTTGCACAATTCGCTATTTCACACATTTTTAAAAATTCAACTTTTTAAATATTTATGTCGATAATGAAAAAATTTGCTTCCATGCAGAATGCTCATACACTACAAAGTGCAGTAGCTCTTCCATTTTGTCCATTTTTCACCCGAAGAACTGTTAGTTCAAAAACGTTAGTGAAAGCTGTATAGTTGAGAAATGGAAGGATTTTTGTCATCATGGATTTGATCAAAATAATGATGATGTTGATCATCATTATTTTGATCAAAACCATGATGACAAAACCATTTTGAAAAACTCATAGGGACATTATTTTGATGTTGACCATCAAAATAATGTCCCTATGAGTTTTTCAATTATTCAAGCTAATGCTCTTAGTTTGCATGAAGATTGGAAGGCTATAGATTATATGAAGATTCTAACATTCTAACAAGGTGTCTCAAGCAAGTAATGGCTGGTTCAACAAATTTAAAATTTAAAATGAGATATTCTTTACATAATATTAAATTCACTGGAGAATCATCTGATGCAGATAAAGATGCTGTAAAAGAATTTATTTCCTCATTGTCCAAAAGTATTGTAGATGGAGAATATTCTCCTAGCCAAATATTCAATGTAGATGAGATGGATTTATTTTGGAAAAAAATGCCTAATCGTACATTTTTATTGAAGGAAGAATCAGTTGCCCCTGGACATAAACCTTCCAAAAACTGATTGACATTGACATTGCTTCTTGGTGGAAATTTAAGTGGTGATTTAAAATTGAAGCCATTGTTAATTTACCATGTGGAAAATCCCAGAACATTGAAAGGGAAAGATAAAGAATTGCTTCCAGTCATTTGGAAATTATAGGGTTGGCAACTAAGTGATTGTGGATTTTGTCAATAGGTGGCCTTAGCACATTTTTTTGCTTTGTCATCGTGTTCAAAGCATTTAACCTATATTGTTTTCTTATTGTTTGGACTTCCACCTTTAATTTAGGAAAAAAATTGTATCAATTAGTTACTTAGTTTCATTTTTATTCCAATTTAAAATTGGAAGAATAAGACGTGCATTTCAGACATATTTTATTGTATTATTTCCGAAAAGGCAAGAACGCATCATAAGCACACAAGAAGTTATGTGCCGTATATGGGAATGAAGCCTTAAAAGAAAGGCAGTGTCAAAATTGGTTTGCCAAATTTCGTTCTGGTGATTTTTCACTGAAAAATGCTCAACGATCTGGCCGTCCAGTTGAAGTTGATGAGACCCATATCAAGGCCATTATCGATTCAGATC